TACACATTCGTTTTATCTATATGAGATATTTGATAATCTCTAATTTATCTTTATGATATAAGGATAAATAAACTTTTTATATAAAAATAAGAAATATAAATTTAAAAAAGAAATATTTTCTAGCTCGATTTTTCTTTTAGTCTACAACTTAAGTTAATCAAATGTTTTAGCTTTATTGAATTCATTCAATCAATGATAAATGTTCTATCATGTATCCATGTAAGGATGATTGGCAATCAGCTGGCTATGGATGCTACTTTCTTAACTATAGTTTTCAACATGCTCTTCTCAATGTGATTTGTGTCAATGGATAGATCATTTTATCTCGATTAGTTTCAGTCCGTTATGTGTCAGATTAATTGAATTAGTCAAGAGGATAAATAGAGAAAGAAGCAGAGTGACATTAGCAATTTGACGAAGATCCACATAGTTATATTCGTTGATGTTATACATATTATTTAATTAAATATGAAGTAAATACGAGGAAGTGACATAGACTATTGATCGAATCGCATTGAAAATATCGTAGAAAAACAAATTGATCAAGATAAATTTTTTACTTTTTAAATTTTAATTTGAGATAATTTCATCAGATATAAATGCAAATAGAAGATGAAACAATAATATTATTCTTATTATGTAAACAATGTAAATGAATGATATTCGAGTTTTTTTTTCTTGTTGACAGTTTATATCGAAAATAAAAATAAAATGGTTTGAATTATTAAAGTAATTTTGAATGTCTAATTAAGTTAAAATTTTATTCTATCAATTATATTTAAGATAAATATATTTGTTGTCGTTTCAATTTCTATGTATTGATAAAGTCGATCGAATAAAAACTTTTTTTAAATGATTATTATTCTCACCGATTATTATTTCACAAATAAGAAACAATCATTTTTAACAATGATAGTAAGAAATCAATGTTAATAATTATATTTAGAGAATGATATCTATTGATTTTATTAATTAATAAATATATAGAATTAATTTTAAAAGTAACTTACGAAATAAATAACGACGAATTCGACTTGTAAAAATAGTCGATTTCATTGAATAAAAATTTAAAAAAATAACATTATCTCGATCTAAAACAAATCCATTAATATAATAAGTGATTTATTTATTTATTAATAATCAATGTGAAAAGACTTTTTTTTTGTTTTTTAATAATTAACAGCTAAGATATAATATGGAATATAATTAAGATAGTATAATGGAATGTATAATAACAAGTAACGCGACGCAAACGTCGCTAATCCTCTACTGAAAGGAACTATGCCATCATGCATACCCTGTGTGAATAAAGAGCTATAGCCCAGAGATCTCAGGCTCGTCGAGTTTCTCCGTCTCGCCACGAAGCGAGAGGAGGCAGGATTTTCCGCAACGCGACAAGTGCGAGT